GTTATATGGGGTCTGCCTAGACCCCTGCTTCTGGGTTCTTGGTGGAGGTGTATGGTTTGTGGTTGGGTGGGCAGGTAACTAGATGCATCTTTAACTGATAGTACCCATCAAGTGATAAAGCTTAAGCCACTTCAATTAATACTATAGAATGGATGGCAATTCCATGCTTAGTCAAAGTGAACTGGCCTATTTATTGTTAATTGTTCCTTACCCTCCACTCCCAGTCCACACAGCTGCCTGCCCTGCCTTACATGCTCCACCCTCCACACGTCTCTACATAACTGCATCAATACCCCACAACCCACCTGAGCACCTGTCATACCTCCACCACTCCCCAAATCAGCCTGGGACACTACAGACCAGGGTTAAGTGAAAGCTATGAAAGTAACTGAGTGGCTTGGTAGGGAAAGTCCTTTTAAAGCCACAGCAAGATTCAGAGACCTTGGGCAGCAACCTCCATCCCCCCGAACACCCAGCACCCTGGAAAAACAGAAGAAAGGGTTGAGGAAGTGTCCCTCACTACCCATCTCACTATGCCTGCACTCCCCAATCAGCCTGGGATGTACCATACCCTAAACGAGTGACTTGGGAGAAAGTGCTCTTTAAAAGATGCAAAACTCTAACCACCCCTGAGTACCCAGCTCCCTGGGAACCCCGAAGCAGGACTTCCTGCTATGGCACTTAGGTACCCCAGTCAGGGTATCACCACACACATTTTAGTAAAGTGCTGGAATGGTTTTTATTGAACTCAATAACAGTGAGAAGGGAAAGCAGAAAATTGCTATTGGGCTGGCTACTCACTACCATCTCCTGGTGGTTGCTTGATAGCACTGCCAAGCCTAAAAGGTTCCATCATATTTGGCAGTTCTATCATATTTTTCTCACTTGCAATGCACACTTTCCTCTGCAAAACTGGGGTATGTGCTTTAAAGAGGTGGGGAGGGGGAAGCTGATTTTCTGCCTCGTATAGGAGAACTTCCTCCCAGGCAGCTGAGGGAGTCAATTGATTTAATGACTCATGTTCTTCACTCTACATGTGTTAATGATCATCTCCCCCTTCAATGGTCTAATTGTTTCACTATGCAAGCTAACCTTTTTAGGGCAATTTTGCTGTTTGCTAGCTGCCCCTGGTTGATCTTTTCCTATTTCACAGCCTTTTTAGCTCAGATTCTAGCTCTTTTTAGAATAAACTGTATAAACTAGTTTTCAGCAGCAGCTATGGGTTCAGTTGTAGTTAAGTAAGGAAGCGAGGATGAGTCAGCTGAAAATTAAGCTCTCTAGAGAAACCTTTTTTTCCCTTCATTCATCCTTTCAGAAACAACATGTGCAGTATATTCTGGGGTATTTTGCACGCAAGAAAATACAATATTTAGAACCTTTGGCAGTTTATGTACAGACGCCTCTGACATGGAACAACTGTGACCCTTTCCCAATCAGTGACATTCTTGAAAAGGTTAATTTTTTATGTGTCTGCACCCTTTGTGCCAGAACAGAAGGCTCTCATCCTTAGCGATGCAAAGATAGGATGGCTGCTTGTAAAATATACAGCTTTGAAGAAAAAAAAAAGAATTAAATATTTAACATGACATTTCTCTGTTCTGTTTTAAAGACTGGAATCAGACAAGCTACGGTCTTCCAAGCCCTTTAGAGAGAGGAGAATCAGCCATGATACTGCCATTTGTTCTGCACTATCTCTGTCCATCATACATTTCCATTGGTGGCTTGGGAGCTATTGCTGCTGCTGTCATGTCTTCTGCAGATTCAGCCCTTCTGTCTGTTGGCTCTTTATTTGCTCACAACATCTACAGAAAAATTCTTAGGAAAAAGGTAGTACTTGAATTATAGATTTTCTAAGTCAAGGTTAATTAATTACTGTTTTGACAATGATTAAACCAGTAGTTCTCAACCATTTTTTACTCAAGGCACCCTCTGGGAGACTGGAAGCACCCCTCTTTAGACTCAAGGCACTCCTTAGAAAATATCAGTTCTTAGTTTTCACTTGATTTTGGAATACAGAAAAATAATAGAACAATTTTTCCATTGGAAAGAACTCAGAAAGACCACAACAGCTTAGAAAGAAATCCACAGTGTTAAAATCAATTTGAAATCTCTGGGTTTATCTTGTGAATCTTGTTTCCATGCCTTTTAGTGCTAAATTATATGGCACCCATGAAAGGATCACAAGACACCCCCAGGTGCTACTGCACCCTGGCTGAGGATCACTGGATTAGAGAGCTGCTGATTTTAGTTCAGGATCCAAGGTTTGTAGATGCCAAGGTACAAAGGTGTCTGGATCCTGAATCTTGGTCTGGCCCATGGTAAACTGACTCTTTGTAAAATTGTAAAATTCAGATCAGGATGCTAGTGGGAATAATTCATAGTGTACTGAAGAGCAGACTTCCAATTCCTCCAAGTCTAACCTGTCATTGTCTACTGACAAAGTGAAAGTTTCAAATAAAAAACACACGGGTGAATTAGCGAAGTGCAGTTAGCAAAAGTGGGTACATGATAGGGATGTAAATATCATTTAAAAATTATCTGTTTAATCTCTTCCAGTTATCTCAGTTAAATGGTTAACCAATAGCTCATACCTAGTTTAGTGACCTTTGGAAGAAGTGGTCTTGGACCTGGCCCCTTATGTCTTCACCATTTGCCCAGCATTGAGCAGGCCCCAGGCCGCTGGTGGGGAGCTGTAGGCAGAGGGTGGCAGGTGCAGCTGAGCCACTAGGGACCACTGCCCAGCTGCAGAGCCATGGCTTCCCCTCACTCCCATGGGGCTGGGGCTGTGGACAGAGCTGGGGCTACGGACCTCTCCTCTGCCCAGATCCTGCTCCCACGGGGAGGGAAGGAGGGAGGTGCCAGGCTCCCCACAGGGATCAGATGGCAGGGCAGTCTGGGCTCTGGCCCTGGCAATGTGGAAGAGCCTTCCAGGTCTGGGCTGCAGTGGCACAAGCACAGTGGGAGTTATAGGGAGCTTGTTACTCTGCCCAGGTCCCACTACTGCGGGGAGAGGAGAGGGGGCAGGCAGACTCACTTCGCAGCCGGGAGTCTTGCTGCTGCAGCTGGAAGGCCCCACACGGCCTCTGTTGGGGGTCTGGCACCCGCCTCCCTCCCCGTGGTGGCAGGATCTGGGCATAAGAGGTCTACAGCCCCAGCCCATGGGGGTGAGGAGAAACCGTGGGTCTGCAGCTGGGCAGTGCCTCCTAGTGGCTCAGCTGCACCTGCCACCTCCCACCCGTGGCTCTCTGCCAGCACCCTGGGGCCCACACAGTGCCTGGAGCATGGTGAAGACATAAGGTGCCAGGGCAGTTCCTGCTGGAGGTCACACAACAGTAAGCGGTAAGTGATAAACGGTAGAAATATAATCGTTGTTTAACCATTTACATTCATTATACATAACTGGTTGTATCATCATACTCATCAAGTAGTTCTTAATGCCTCAATATCTAGTTGGAGGAGGAGGCATCATACTCATGCCCCAGGAGTCTGCTCTAGGTCCAGTATTGTTCAATATCTTCATTGATGATTTGGATTATCGGATTGAGTGCACACTTAGCAAATTTGTGGATGACAGGGGCAATTGCAGATGCTCCAGAGAGCAGGACTAGGATCCAGAATAACCTGGATAGACTGGAGAAATAGTCCACAATCAGTGAGATGAGATTTAACAAGGACAAGTGCAGTCCTGAACTTGGGATGGAATAATTATGTGCATGAATACAGACTGGGGAGTGACTGGCTAGACTGCAGCATTAAGGACAAGAGGGTAATGGCAGAGCATAAGCTGCATATGAGCCAACTGTGTGCTCTTGTTGCAAAAAACAAAAAAACCCAAAAGCCAATAGCATACTGGGTTGTAATAGTAGGAGTCTCACCTACAAATCAAGGGAAGGATTCTTTTGCTCTATTCAGCTGGCCTGTGCAAAGCGGCTAGCATTCACTTCGGATTCGGCTGATTCGGGGGACAGCGATTTGATTTGGTGATTTGAATCACAGCCCCGATCAGATTCGACTGAATCTGATTTGGCTGCTGCCAAATCTCTGAAACAGCCAGGCCTATCCCCTGCCTGCTCTCCCAGCCTGGAAATGGCTCTCCCGCCTGCCCCAGCTCCTGGCACTTATTAAAAATAAGCCCAGGTGCTCAGTGGGTGCTGCCAGGCAGGGGACAATTCCCCCTGCCCCCCACTGCATGAGGGGTTCTGCATGAGCCCCCCAGCCCCTCCATGGGTGCCCCACCCAGGCCAGCTCCGGCCCTTTAAGAAAAAAAAACACCCCAAAACATCCCCCCCTCCCACCAGACTCACCACTTCCGTGGTGTGGGGTGATTCCCACTGCCCCATGTCACGTGGGGGGCTCTGCACGAGCCCCCTGAAGCCCCGAGGCTGTTGCAGGAGCGGCTTTTCTCCATTTTTTTTTTCCGGTGGCTGCAGCCACTCTGAGCTGGTAAGTCCTAGGGGCAGGGGACGGGAACCTGGAGGAGGGGGGAGAGGACCATGGGGGACCCCCTGCCAGTCCCCTGATCCCTGCCTGCTGCCCTAGCCCCACCATGGCTGCCCCCACCTGCCCCAGCTCCCGGGGTTTTAAAAAAAGCCCCAGTGCTCACCGGGTGCTGCTGGGCGTGGGGTGATCCCCACTGCCCCCCACTGCATGGGGGGCTCTGCATGAGGAACCCCTGTTTATGTAGTTAGATCAGCTTCAGTTCCTGTGTATAGATGTGGAGGTGGGAAGAGGGAGGCTACTGCTAGAAGTATTAGGAGAACATCGAGTCTTCTAGAGCAAAATGTGGTTGTTAAAGTGGGTAATACATTTAAATATGTTCAACACAAACTTTGCTTTGAAACTGATTCATGGATGCTAGGGGCTGGAAGAGTCCTTACAAGATCATTGGGTCCAGCCCCCTGCACTTGGACAGGAAAGACTGCTGGGGTCAGATGACTCCAGCAAGGTGGGCATCAAGACCCTTTTTGAAGATTGCCAGGGTGGGTAACTGTATACCATCATGATACCAACATCTGGATTTATGTTATAACAAGAGGTGAAACGCTATCAAGCCTTCAGCAGGTTGTAGAGCAACTTGAGAGGTGCCGTAGTTAGTATGTTATCTTACACTGTGCACCAAGTTGTTTGTCAGCTATTATAACAGGTAATAGAAAGATATATTTGCCCTGCTCCTTTTAAACCTTAGGTTGCGTTTATTACTTCTGTGTTAAACACACCAAGATAGTCTGCTAAGGAAATTTAACATGCCTAGAATGAGTCCATAAATCCAATGTGTTGGTTAATCCATTTAAGGAAATTGTAACCTACTATTGCTGCATGATATGAACATTCCTCTTCCAGGTCAAGTGGCAGAGCTGGGCTGGGGAGGGCTGGGCTATGGCACCGAAAGGCAAAGGCTCACACCATGCTGATATGGTGGGGAGTCCGATAAACATTGGGACTCGTGGCACAATAATCCTGCCATCTTTCCATGAAGTCCTGTTACCTTTGGAACCTTGAAATTTGACTCAAATGAATTTAGGAATAAGCAGACGGTGATTCCTAAAGCAGCGCTCTTTTGTTTTACAGGCTACAGAGAAAGATGTTTTATGGACAATGAGAGCCTCTATGCTGGTGTTTGGGACAGCAGCTGCTGGCCTGGCTTTTTATTCTCATTCTATTTATGACCTGTGGTTCCTGTCTGGTGAGCTAGTGTATGCCCTCCTCTTTCCTCAGCTGTGCTGTGTGCTCTTCATACCTCACACCAACACATACGGCTCAGCAGCTGGGATCCTCTTAGGGTTCCTCCTGAGGCTGTTGGCAGGGGAGCCGTCCCTGAAAATCCTTCCTGTTATCCACTACCCAGGCTGCTGCCTTGTGGATGGGGTCTATGTTCAGCTGTTCCCTTTTAAAACATTCACCATGCTGCTCACTTTGGGGATCATAGTCTCTGTTTCCTATCTGTCAGCATTTTTGTTTAAAAGAAACCTCCTCTCTCGCAGATGGGATGTTTGCAACATTATGAAAGAAAACAGTGTACACATCCCTCTGCGCCAGCTGGAAAAGCAGAAGGACTTGCAAGGGACTGTATTGCCAGAGAATCATGACTAAATGCAGAGCATCAGTTGAAAGGCAATTAAGCAAACTGCAGTTTTGTTACCAGGTCAATGATGTTTCTTCTTTATTCTTCCCTGTCTACCGGTGAATTTTTCAAAGCCCACAGTAGAGTCATAAAGAAAGTCAGCAAGCACTCCATTAACACCACAAGGATAAAGGAAGTCAGAGTCTGCAATACTGAAAGGTGTGCAGTAATGCAAATGGCTGTGTGGTGATTAGTATGAAATATTATAAAATAAAACCTGCTCCTGCTTGGTTTTGGTACAACAGTCTTTGCAAAATGCAACCATGGTGAGCGGTTAAAAGCCATTTCCTGACATAGATAAAATTCATATGTTACACCTCCGTATCTCACAACACTGGTATTAATGAATGCTTTAACAGATTGTACATTGAGAAGAAACTGCTGTCATTGCCATAAATGGGAGTTTTACTATACATTTCTACCACTGCATTTTTCAGGGTTAAATTTGTCACAATCTTAAATGCCTGCTTTTCAATGCAGAGCCTGCTTATGATGCCCAGCTGCCACAGAAAGATTTGCTCAAGGTTCATGCCTTGAGCTTCATCTCTCTGTTCAAGCTCTTATTTACTCAAGAAGGACAGAAATGGAAGCAGTAATATCCACCGTTGTCATTTGAAAAGATACTTCCCTGCACATCCACTCCACTCCATACCTTTTCCTCCTAAACCTGTCATTCCCTCCAACAAATATATTGGCCCAGATCCTATTTTGCCTGAAGGTTATGTTTATATCACCTCCACGATAATCCTAAGACTGCTGCTAAACAGCAAGCACTAACCACTTTCTCCCACTCTGCAGGCATGACTACATGTTTATTAGTTTACTGTGGCCTAATAGGGCCACATGTGTAGAGGCTGAGACATTTATAATTAGGCAGCTCCACAGTAAGCCTCTCATGTAGACATGACTTGCATGTGCCACACATTGAAATAAAGTTGCATGGTCACCCTAAGTTGTATAGGGCATGACCAGGGCAGGCGCAGCTCTCAGGACCTGGAAGCATCCCTCACGTGAGCTATTCAGAAAGGGTTGGAAAAAAACTGAATATTGTAGGTGTGCACTTTATTTTCATAACAAGAGAGTCAGAGACTTTGAGATTTGTTACTAACAACCTACCAGGCTCTTTTCTTTTCTCCAAACTCAGGCATGCTCTCCTTCCTGTTACGGAGTCTGGATAATGTCTTCCAACAACTACTAACTCTCCATGTTGATTCTAGAAGGAAATTAGGCACCTCTGCCCAGATATCTGGATTGGTCCTCTGTGGGGAAAATGTCTAAGTTTTAGGCACTGAAATGCTTAAGTGGAGTCACTTAGGTTTCATAGTTTCATAGTTTCTAGGGTTGGAAGGGA